CTTGCCATAATTTATGGTATATATTATAGTACTTAATTAAATAATAGCCTTTTGACTTCAGTAGATGATAACTTTAGGATAGAAGTCATTCTTTATTATTCATTTTTGTATAATTTAAGCTTTTAAAAGCTCAGGTTCTTGAATATAGAATGTTCCATCATTATTGGCCAGCTCTTGAATACCTGAGTATTTCTGTTCTTGTGGTGTTTCCTTCTTTGTTAAACATGAGTGACTCTGATACTGAAATGGGAAATTCAGGACCACTAAATTAGAAGAAGAGTAGAATTTGCTGCCTGCCAATTTTATCTGCTTCAAAAACTATTTCTTACAAAGCACCTTTTCAGGAAATACATGGTTAATCTCTCCTGCTTGGATTCAAGAGTAGAAGTATCCTTCAAATACAAATGAAAAGGATTCTTTATTCTAAACATATTCTTTTGGATTTTGCAGAGCCTTCACCATGTCAGGCTGATATTTCCATAATGAAAAAACCTTAACTATTTTTTAGATTAGTTTTCATAGCTAACTATATATTTTATTTTATTTATTCTGAAATATACTGCATACCTTTCCTTGGTTTTCAGGATCAAAAGCATACCTATTCTAGAGACCAGCAGTTAGCGTAATGGCTATGTCGCTGGATTCCCATGTAGTCGACCAAGGATCAAGTCCCGGACCTGGTGGCTTAAACTCACACCGGGTGCTTGTGCGTGCGTGCCCAAGATCCTGAGAGGAGAATGGAGGAGAAGGGATTGTGGCATGGCCATCCCTCCTGGGGGGTGATTTCTCGCTTTCTGTCTCTCTGTCTCTCTCTGTCTGTCTGGCGAGCGCATGCGTCCTATAGCAAAAAAAACCCTCTCAAAAAAAAAAAAAGCATACCTATTCTCTAAAAATGAATGAAATAACAAGATTAATTCTGATTTATTTTTACTCTACCTATTTATGAGGCTGGAATCCCATTAGCCTTTTTGGGCAGAGCAACCCATTAAAATGTGCTTTTGGTTTTAATTAGATGAAATTAAAAATTCAGTTTTCAGTCACACAGTCCATCTTTTACGTGCTCAAAGTTACATGGGTTATGGACTACCTTTCTGGATGATGGACATACCGAGAATTTCCAGTAGCACTGAATGTTCTATGGGGCCGCAGCAGCTGACACTGTTTACCTTTTACTTTACAGTAGCTTACATAGACAGACACTTTACCACAACTCTAGACAACCTTCTAAATTTAAATGAAATTAGTTTACTTTCACTGAAAAATTTATTTTTCTCTTGTCGTCAGTTTTTCAATGCTAACACTTCTTGGCTATTATCCCCATTTTTGTGTGAGAATACAGGCATTTTTCCAGCTCCTGACAGCTCCCTGATTTTTCTCTTTATCACTGGTAATTTGATTATAATGTGTCTGGTGTGATTTTCTATGTATTTTTCTGCTTAGGGTTCATTAAGATTCCTGGATCCATAGTATTATCATTCTCATCAACTTTGTAAGATTTAAGGCCATCATTATTTTGAATCTTTTTTGGTTAGTTCCTCTGGATCACCAGGTATATGTGTGTTAAACAGCTTGATACTATCAAATAACGCACACAGGATCTGTTCATTATTTTTCTTTTAATATTTTATCTCTATAAGACATTTTGGATATTCTCTATTTCTACAACTTCAAATTTATAAATATGTTCTCTGCTGTCTTTATTGCCCATAATATCCTACCAGTGTTTATTTTTAATTTTAGATACTATAGTTTACATCTCCTAAAGCTCCATTTAATTTATTTTTACATCTTTCATTTCTCTCCTGGTCATGGGTTATATTTCTCCAGTTCTGAAGATTTCTAGGAGTATTTGCTTCAACTATGGAAGTGGTGAATTCATGCCATTGAGTTTTTGAGTTCTGTTTTTTAAGTTTATTTACTTATTTTCATGAATTAGAGAGCCAGAGTTAACAAGGCCCTGACACCAAGATCCATCCTCAACTTCAGTCAGTCCCTGCCAAGCATACTCCCAGAGGTCTCTGGATGAGAACTCAGCATTTTCCCACATGAGGCAGCCTCACAGAGATTTTTTGCCACTGCAGCACTGTCTAGCCCTTATTTTTTAAACGAAGTGTTTTATTTTTTCACATAGGCATTTGGGTTCTTTTGGTTTGGTTTGAGTATCTTGAAACTTGTTTTAAAGTTTTACAAGGGTTGTCCCAAAGTATCTCTAGTTCTAGGGACCATTTATTCCCATTCCTAAGGCCTGGCCCTCCTAATGCTCCAGGAAGTCAATATGAACTTTTCCACTGATGCTTCTAGGAACGTCAGTAACTCTCAGTCCTTTTGGGGTCTGAGAACCAAAAAACTCACAGCTTTCCAGTAATCTCTTTAACTAGTCTCATAAAATTTTAACCTTGGCATAAATATCTTAGGAAGCAGCATGGGTTCAAGGGACCTATAAGTAGATTTCTGCAGTTTGGGACATAGCTCTCTGCCTCAAGAAGTCTTCCTCACAGATTCAAGTCTTCCCAATGCTCTGAACTCTGATCATCTCTGTCTCCTCTCAGTAAGATCATTGTCTAGTCTTGCAATACCTCCCCCTGTCCCATCCGATGTCCCTACTGCTCTATAGATCGAAATATTTAGGCAGAAACTTCAACTATCTTAGGCCTTACTTTTTTTTTCCTCTCAGATAGCTTGGCTTTTCTCTGCCCTTGGTTTAACACCTGAAAAACTGCTGCTTCATCTGTAATTGCCTCCTTTTCTAATTGTTTGAGTCAGGAGGATTAAATTGATACCTGTTATTTTATCATGATGGAAATTGGGAATTTTTCTTCAAGTGATTGAAAAGTTTAATTAAGAGAGGCACAACTACATATTGCATTAGAAGTTGGGGATGGATTAACAAATGTTGAAACAATAATGTACAATACTACAGCAAAATTCTGATTATTATAAGCACTGGTAGAAACTGGCAAGTCAGTCTTGTGAGAGAGGTTACATATAGAGAGATTTCAAGGTGATTAAGAGTCATAAATTCAAATAACGTGACTGACAGTTTGGAGTTACAGTTATAAGAGTCATTCACATACAGTAAAAAAAGATGGAGTCAAAGATAGCAGTTTGATATTTACAGTAAGAACTCAGAGAACTGCTCTATCATATTAGATTTGATTGAGGGCCACTTCCAAACCAAACCCTTAGGCTCTGTATACCATGGTTCTGACCTAATCTAAGATTTTTCGATTTACATTTTGATCAATATATCTCCATCCAGGAATTAAAATAAGAATCATAATAATTATTTACCCTTGAAATCACTCTATGATTTCTAAAATGTGTATCACATGAAAGAGAAAAAAATATATATGTAATGTAATTTCTATGATTTGTATTAACTGATTTCAGCCTGTACTGATAAGAAAGGAAACTGACTGTATATTATATAAAGAACCACACACACACACACACACCTTAGTTTTCTTTTTTCATTTGATTCTCAGAATGTTTGCTTTGAGGTACACAATGGCACAAATTGTAAGATTAAAAAAAAAGTCATCTTTCCTTTCTTCATCTATAATTTTATCAGTCATAAAAGAATCTGCAGCATTATAATCCTTAAATTAATGATATCTTACTCTCACACAAATAAATAAATGTTTTACTTATGAAATTGACCTTCCTTATAAGAACATATGCATAATATTGAGTATCCAGTATGAAGGAAAGTTTTAATAATCCCAAATATAATAATGAACAACTTAATTTGAAACAGTTTTTTCTTACTTAGTTACTCTTGATTCCAGAAGTACCTGGTTTAAATGCATAGTGAATAAATTTTCAAACACATATATAATTTACATGCCTTTAAGACTTCCTTAATGCTTAATGTAGAAATGTCATTTTAAATGATTCTGAAAAATCAAATGCACTTATATTTTATAGCTGTAATATTTTAAAAGTGTCTTCACATAAAAATGTAGTCACTGGCAAATGTTATCAATTAGCTAATATTCAACAATGATCATCAAGGTCAGAAGCTGTAACTTTGTTGGAATTATAATTTGAAACTAATGATTTCTTTAAATGAATAGTTGCTGTAGAAGCTGATGCCTGACAAAAGAAGATGCTTAATGAATATTATTGAATGAATGACTGAATTTTGGGGCCTTAAAAATAAAATCTGTATGTGCCAGAGTTCTTAGAAATAAAAGTTTCATTGAGTTTAATTAAGCACAATTAAACTCTCTGGCAAGATGAGAAAGCAATTAAAAAAAAAAAATACTAGCAATCTGCAGGCAACTCATGAGCCTTTAGTTAAATGAATAAAAAATGAGGTTGAGAAAAAAATTTCAACAGTTATCCAGTCTAATAATTTGCTGATCATTGATAAACACATGCTTTTTTGTTTTAAAACTGTCGTGTGCTATTAGTTAAATAGTGTATGCAGAATTAATTCTAGTTAAATCTTTTATTATCAAAATTATGTTTTTTCTGTGTTAAATTTTCTTATTGATTTCCTTAATCTAATGCCTTTTTTCCTCTTCAACAGCCAGTAATGAAATAAAATGTTAGTTTCTGATAGAAGCTTTCTCCTATTGAAATAGAAAATATGACTGCCTATTATAGAAAATGTAGAAATAAAAATGCATTAACTCTTGAACAACATGAGATTCTGTATGGGTCCTCTCATAGATGGATTTTTTTTTTCAATAAATATGTTGAAAAATACAATACAGTACTGTAAAATATGCTTTTTTATAATTTTCTTAATAAAATTTCCCCTTTTTTATAAGAATACAGTACATAATACATTTATAACCATATATTAAATTATTATGAGTATTCTGTTGCTGCATATATCAATGTAATATTTACATTTTATGTTATTAAATTTTTTCTCAAGAAAATTAGTAATACTTGGGAATTTCAGATTTCTTGTGTATAACATTGAAAAAAAACTGTTAAAAGCCAATGATTCCCGTTCAATCTAATGATTGTTTGTTTATTTCTTTAAGGACTACAAAAAAGTGAGCCAACCATGACTGGCAAAACACAGACCAGCAACGTCACCAATAAGAATGACCCTAAGTCCATCAACTCCCGTGTTTTCATCGGCAATCTGAATACAGCCATCGTCAAGAAAGTTGACATTGAAGCCATTTTTTCAAAGTATGGCAAAATAGTTGGATGCTCAGTTCACAAAGGTTATGCATTTGTACAGTACATGAGTGAGCGACATGCAAGAGCTGCAGTGGCTGGAGAAAATGCCAGAATCATTGCTGGCCAACCATTGGGTAAGTCATGGTCAGTCATGGATTTCACATTCTTGTTCCATTTTCTTCACATAACTGGACTTGGTTTTATTGTTTAAAAGCTAGTACCGCCATAACTTCCATTTCTTCTTTAAGCAATTCTAGTGCTCGTATAGTTATCATTTATTTTATGTTCTTATTCCCATATTGTTTTAACATATGGGTATCTTATTTTCTCTACAAATGTATAAACTTGAGATAAAGGCTGCTTTGTAATATTTATTACCTCTACAGAGCCTAACAGAACTAGGGAAATAATAAAGATGCATTATGTTTAGCGTGGACTAGAACATGGTATATATCCTCCAGGGTGCTCTATGCTGAGCAAAGAATTACTTTACTTGTACTTATAACATTGTATTTGAGTAACTAATTTCCCCTCATCCTATTTTGTGTTTGGAGAGAAGGGGTAGGAAATAACCAAAGGAAATAATTTTCTTTTAGGATTCAAAATAAGATATAGCCTAGTCTTTCTGAACTGGTTTGGAATCTTACGTATATGCTTGTTCAGTTATACATACTAATCAGATCTGTAACTAATATCCAAGAAATGAAGCATTTTGGAAGGTTTTGTTTTGTTTTCCCCCAAGAAAAAAGAATGTGGTCTCAGGTAAAATTAAAAGGCTTAGGGAAAATACTTGGTAGCCAACGAATAGATAAAAATAATAAAAATTAGATGGTCATTTAGATATTTTCCTACTTGAGAAAAGTGGTTCAATTCAGCAGTGGTTCCCATATTTATGTCTCTTATCTTGTTCAGATTAAATATGCTAAACTGAGTATAGCATATCTTCTCTTAGATGTCCAACAGGCATCTTGCTTTCTATATTCAGAATAAAACTCTTGATTTTTGACATCCATAAGCTCTACCTCTATCACATTAGGTGGAGCCTACATTTTTCAGGATTTTCAAATAGGTGTCAACTCTGATCATTTTCTTCATATTCCAAATACAATCTATCATCAACTTGCATTGCAATTATATTGCAAATATTTCTCAGACTTAGTTACCTTTAAAATCTATACTGAAAGTCATTGCATTGGGACCAGCAGTTGGTATAATGGCTATGTCAATGGACTCCAATGTAATTGACCATGGTTCAAGTCCCGGACCCACTGGCTTAATCTCACATCGGGCGCGTGTGCATGCGTGCCCAAGACCCCAAGAGGAGAATGGAGGAGATGGGATTGCAGCGTGGCCATTCTCCCCGGGGAGTGATTTCTCGCTTTCTGTCTCTCTGTCTCTCTCTGTCTTTTTGGCGAGCGCACACGCTCTATAGCAAAAGCCTCTGAAAAAAAAAAAAAGAAAGAAAGAAAGTCATCACCACTAGGCCACCGTTGTGTCTCGGGTAAATACTAAAATAACTCCCAAGTTGGTCTTCTTCTTCCCACTCTTGCAGACCGCATGTTAAAAGCTTAAATCAGATTATGTCATTACCCTCTTTTAGTCCTCTAATATCTTTCTCCTGTAGAATGAGATTTATATTCTGTATCAAACCTACAATGCCTTGCACTTCCATATCGTCAGTTCCATCTTCTTATTCTCTCTGTCTTATGGTATCACTTTAATAATGCTGGCTGCCTTGGTATGCCTTAAAATTCCAAGATTGTTCCAACATCAGAGACATTAGACTTACTATTCCCTCTGCTCAGAAGACAGGTCTTTGCTAATTGCCCCCCTCCCTTCTGATTTATTATGTGTTATGCTCAAAATTTATTTTCCCAGTAAGACTTTTCCTGGCCAGCCCATCTATAATAAAAGAGTTTTCTTTCTTCTTCTCTTACCTTACTGTTCTTTATTATTATTATTATTATTATTATTATTCATTATCTCACTATTTTTTTCTTTTATTGAAGTTGACCAGAGAGAGAGAAGGAAAGTAAGAAAGCAACCCACCAGGTCTGGGACTCAAACCATGGTCAGCCATGTGGGAGTCCAGCTACCTTAGCCACCACACCACCTGCCAGCCCCTTACCTGCCTATTCTATATTCTAAATTGTTTTTGTGGTCCTTATAAGTAACTGAATGACATATTTTAAATTATGATGTTATTTCTGGCATGTTCACAAATACAAAGCATACAGGAATAGAATTTTTATTTACATTTTTCCCATCCCCACTTTTCTGTATTTTAAAGAAAGATAATGATTTCCAATAGACACTGGTAAATTTTCTATTTGTCCCTTTTTGTTCTTCTTAAAATCTTCATTCTGCTGGCTTACCTTAATATAGGAATTTCCTGGCCTTCTTTTCTTTTCTTTTTTTTCCTAAATTGAAATTCTTATTTCAGAGTCACAACCCAGCCTCAGAGGGAATTTTGTATATTAACTGTATTGTTATGAAACTAACATATTTGTAAAAATATATTTCATTATTATCATTTTTAAAAAGGTCAGTAAACTAAAAATATGATTTATTTTTTAATAAACTATACTTTTTCTCAGTTTGGTTTTCTATCAATGATCAATTGATGACTACCTTCTTGATAAGAATGGAATGGGAAAACAAAGTATCTACATTAAAATCTACCGCCTTTCTTGCACAAACCCAAGGAAAACCATTGATAAGAATAAAAACACTTTGCTTTGAGAGGAACAGTTAAGCTGTGCCTCTACTAAAAGGCCTTTTTTTCCTTTTCTTAAAGCTTTTATTTTTATATTTATTTATTTACATTTAATCACTGTACATCTTTGCAGTGTATAGTATGGTTTTTTCCCAGCATGAATAGAGTACATACAAGTCAAAGACATTACCATATATATTATTATCGGCAGATAACTTTTCATTTTTGTGTCTATTAAGTGTGTTGTTTTTTCTTTCTTTTTAAAAGCTTATTTATTTATTTTTATGAGAAGAAGAGAGAAGACAGGCATTTCGACAGTGTTCCACCACGCTGCAATCTGACTGCCCCAGCTCCACAGACAGCCAGGATCACAGGTGTCCGCCATGTTTGTAGTTAGTCTGAGTTCAGGGCGATCCAGAATCCTAACAGAGCCTCCTCCTGAGTGCTAGTAGTGCCACTTGCACCATGGCAGCCACGTCTAAGATACCAGTTCCTCATGGCAGCCATTCCTCTTGAAACTTACCCTAGTTTTGCCCTCACATTAACCTGCAGAACTTGCATCTGCTAGTCATAATCACAGTTTTAAAATGAATCTAAGTCAAAAACTGTCATTGAAAGTCATTTTCCACTTCTGTCTAAACTAAATAACGTATAAAGCTAGTGCTTCATAAGTTAAATAGTAACTTTGGTTTTGGGTCAAGTATCTGAACGTACTCCCATTTTAAAAAACTGTTATCACTAGAACTTTACACAAAGGTATGGTTTCCCAGTGTCCCATATGGAAATTCACTTCTTTGGTCAAGCCTTAAAGAAGACTCTTCATTTCCAGGAGATTGATCCACTTCTGGCATTAAGTACTATTCCTTTGTTTTTAATGACTTGAGCAAAACTTAACATCAAGTAAATCTAACACTTGCTTTGTATATTTTTTGATTCTCAAATGCATCTTTTATGATTTGAAGACCTTATAAAATCTTGCTAGCATTTAATATGAAGTGAGTTTGATCATGGATAAAATAACAGATGATTATTGTATGAAATTGATATTAGTGTCATCTTCCACAATCTGTCCATTCTTCTGTCTACTTAAATAAGAAAGAAATTAGTATAGTTGGGCCGGCAGGTGGCATGGTGGTTAAGGGCACTGGACTTCCACATGGCTAACTGCAGTAAGAGTCCCTGACCTGGTGGTGGCTTGCTTTCTCACTTTCCTCCTCTCTTTCTCACTCTCTCTCTCTCTCTGATTCTCTCTCTCTCTCTCTCTCTGACTCTGTCCCTCTCTAGTCAAATTTAAGTAAATAAATAAAGTTAAATAAAATAATTCTTTGAAAAAAATTAATTAATAGAGTTTGAACTATTTTTTGAGTTAGTACTGTTTGTATATTATTTCATTTTATCTCAAATAATGATATTTATCTATCAGGAAAACTAAATATTCTAATGTGAGTTCTAAAGTTTTATGGAGGGTATAAGAATATCCATAAAATAAGAAAAGATTTGAATGCATGTGGTGAAATCCAACATTTATTAAATGGCAAATATTAATAGCTATTTCGATTCAACAGGTAAAGGGGCCATTGATGGGTTTCAAACTGGGAAGTTGTAGGTTGAATTGTCTTTTGTTAAAAGAATAGTCTGGCAGTTTTATGGATGGATTAGTGTGATAAAAAAAAACTAGAGAGGATTTTGGTTTCAAATTATGGAAATGAAGGGAGAAAAATGAGAAAAGGAGGTAGGATCAATAAGAGTTAATAACTAGTCAGCACAGTGAGGGAGACAGAGAGATACAAAGAATCAAGAAGGGTCCTGGAACCAGTTAGTGGTACATTGTTGATGCAACTGGACTCACATGGGAAAAGTTCTGAGTTGGCATCCTGGGGCCTTCCTGAGCATATTGGGTATGCTCATGTGTGCATGCATGCCCCAAATACTGGACAGATGGAAAAATAGAAGAAAAAGAATTGTGGCAGGGAACCAGCAGTTAGCTTAATGGCTATGTTGCTGGACTCCCACATAGTCGACTGCTGTTTGCGTCCCAGACCTGGTGGCTTAAAACTCACACCAGCTATGTGTGCGTGCGGGCCCAAGATCCCGAGAGGAGAATGGAGGAGAAGGGATTTTGGCGTGACCATCCCACCTGGGAGGTGATTTCTCACTTTCTGTCTCTATGTCTCTCTCTGTCGGTCTGGCGAGTGCACGCGCCCTATAACGAAAACCTCTCCAAAAAAAAAAAAATAAATGAAACACTACTTGACAGACTTTAGCTATCTTACTAAATGGTAGTGTCTACCTTTTTTTCCCCCTCAGTTTTTGCTATAGAATGCATGTACTCACCAGAGAGATGGAGAGAGAGAGAGAGAGAGAGCGAGAGTGAGAAATCACCCCCCCCAAGTGGTATGGCCACACCACAGCCCCTTC